TTCACACTCAGTCACATGCTGACGAAGGTGTACGAATAACTTTGTTGACACAGTTGGCAAGTAATTCTGCATGTGTGGAGGTAAGTAAGCCAGTTATTAATCAGTCTCACACTTGTGGTCTGTGTACGTATGTTGCCTTTGCATATTCTACAGTCTGCTGCTATGCCACCTGTTGACATTTGAACAGATCCATCAGCTCAGCAGTCTTGAGCACTCTGTCCTCCGTCCAGCCACACCTGAAGCAGGACGTTAATTTGTCCTATTTTAGGTGTCTAAAATAATTATAAAGGGTAAATAGGCTACGTCCTTTATTTTGTGAAGAAAGTTTATTTAGATAGTATATGCTGTTCCAACAAAAGTAAAATGAATATTAATTTTCCAATTCTTTATTTTTACTGTATGTCTGTATTATACAGTGCGTTTAAAAAAAGATAATTTTAGAAAAAAAATACCACAAAAATAGCATTGATCACATTAAAAGACATTTGACAAATAAACAATTCTCTCAAGTATATTTTGTGTATTTTCTACAACTGTTTTATATTTGAACTCATAACACAAGTTTGATTTCGATTAAATCCTCAGGCATAAGACTTTAGTAAGTAATGTGTAAAGTATTAAAATTTGAGGAGTATATATATATATATATGTCGTACCTAGTAGCCAGAACGCACTTCTCAGCCTACTATGCAAGGCCCGATTTGCCTATTAAGCCAAGTTTTCATAATAAGTTTTCGTGTGGCTTAATCTTCATCAATCGAGAGCAGTACGTCCTAACCAGACATTATATGATGATATCCTGAACAGTTGATAAATAAAAGTAATTGCGGAACTCCAGTTATCAAATACTTTGTCATAAATGGCATAAAGCCAAGGGATTTGTAGATCAGTGTTTAAAGGGAATTCGGAAGTAATAACACAGCTGATGCCATCTGTCGGCAGACGAGAACACTATCAACTGGCTGGTCAACAGTGGCCATAAGATACAGCTTACGCCATCTGTTGACATCAAATTACACCTATAACAAATTACCCCACAAAATACTACTAGCGCCATCTCTTTTTTTTCCAACGCACTATAAATAGCCAAACAGCAACCCATAAGGCGGGTTGTTGTGCTCGGGTAGGAGGTTCCAAGCTCCGCCCACAGATGGTATGGGGTGCATAATAAATGGCATATCATTGGTAGATATTCTTTGTTGACATTCACACAACAGCCAATCACAGGAAGGGATCAGCTAAAGGCTCCATCCACTTAATAAATCATCTTTATTCAGCACACCATCCTTGCTTATGACATTCTGTTTCAACTTTATTCTACCTAAAAAATGAAATGTTAAGTATTTAAAAGTATTAATATAGTGATAATTAAATACTGCAAGACGTAACGAGTGTTACAGAAACATGGGCTGGCTACCTAACTTGTGACGTCATCAGTGGGGGTTGCCTCACACAAATAATGATACGCTGCTCAGCCTCTTATTCGAGTAAATTATTCAGTTAGATGGAGATTTCTGTCAGGTGCAAAACAGAAATTGTTGTTCTTTTTCACAACAACCTTGTTGTTGTGCACAAGGACCTATTTCTTAGTATAAATTTTATTCATAAAAGAGTGTTGGCATTCCCCGCAACAGCCAATCACAGGACGGTATCTCTGGAAGCTCGGCCTTCAACAAAGTTGATTCCTAATGAACTCTAACAATAAATTCGTTTAATAAGCGAGTATTTAGGGTCAAGCTACAGATGAACATTATAGGATAACGGTGTTTTAGCTTGCAGCTTCGTTAGACAGAATCCCTGGTCTTAATTTTAAAAATAATGAACTAGAAAGTGTATTTTATTGCTAACTTTTCGAGAAATAAATTCCGGTCTCATATTTGCGAACATTTATGCATTGATTTTTTGGCTTAAGTTCTTATCATAATCACTTTTGCAATCTCAACACCATCTGGCTCGTATCTTGTAACTATCTTCGTTACTTAGCCTCAAAACCTTACATTTGTCTTACATATCCTCAACAGTAGATAAAAAAAATAATTGTAGAATTTTAGTTACCTAATACCATCAAACTATGGTATTTGTGCTTGGGGCTCTACTACCCAAAATCAACTATGGTATTTGTGCTTGGGGCTCTACTACCCAAAATCACTTACGTCCTCTAATTACTCAACACAAAGCTGCTATTAGGACAATATCCAACTCTGGCCCCAGACATCACTCGGTACCCCTACTCAAATCTCTGAATATGTTAGACATTAAGTCACTGCACATTCACTCATGTGTATTATACATATACAAAACGCTAAATTGTAATGCCAATCCTGATCTCAAAAGCTTCATAGAAGGTTGTAACAGAACCCATGAGCACCACACCAGAAATAAATACAGTTTTGATATTCCTAGAGTACGACTTAATCAAACCAGAAATGCTCTACAAATCAAGGGGCCCAGGATGTGGAATGACCTTCCCAACCATGTTAAAGACAGTACCTCTCTCAACCAGTTTAAGTTAAAAACGAAGCTATACCTAATAAATTCCATGTAACCTACCTTACCCTTCTATTGTCAACCCATGTATGTTTTTTTTTTTTTTTTTTGTTTTACAAATCAACGCTGTTTTAATGTAATTTTCTGTAATAATTTATAATTGTATTTGTGCTGTTTTTTCAACAATGTTCCCCCCCTCTTTTACCTCTATTTTTATTTGTACTCAACGCATTTTTTTCTTTTTACCCATTAGTTTTAAGCTTTAGTCAGTAGTGTTTTTTCCTGCCCGAAACGCTTTGCGTAATAGTGGCTTTAGGCATTGTATGTACTAGCTCTATCTATAAAGCCAACAAACTTTGTAAAATCTCTTTATGTATGTACCTTTGCCTAAATAAAAATTATTATTATATTATTATTATTATTATTATTATCATGGTATAAATCCTTATTATAAGCTACCAGACGTATAGATCAGTTTTTAAAGTAATAATAATACATTATTATTAATGTATTAATAAGAAAACTCTGCATTGAATTGGGACTAATTTATTAAATATTATTTAGTATTAATTAATATTTACAATTATTATTAATTACAATTATTTATAGCTTAGTTACTTTCATGTAACTCGCAATTGTACATTCTTAACATTAATAGCCCAAATTAGCACATTTTGCTTTTAAATTAGCCCAAAAAGTAGCAAGTAGCGAAATTAAAAATTTGGGAGCGCGGGTCTCTCAAAAGTTTCCCAATTCGCTATTTATAGCCCAATCTGGCAACACTGTTGGGACTTACAGTCCCCCAAGTGGGCATTTGAAGGCATAGACGACGTTGGTTTCCTACAAGGCATTCTGCTTTGTGTCTGGACAGTTTTTCATGAGTACGTTAGCCGTTTTTTTGGTTTTATAGTAAATCGTCAATAGTATTTTCTGTTTTTTTGTCTGTAGGGATAATGTTCCTATCAACAATATCTTTCAGTCCTTAATCTAACAAATAAGTTTAAGTAGGTAAATTCTAGCAGAATTAATAAAATGATAACAGATACATTGCAAGAAAAAAAATGAGATAAGAGAGATTAGTAGGTATATTAAAGTACATTGGTAGCTCTGATTGATTGCATTGATAGCTTGATTGGTAATTTAAACAAAGATTAATAGGCACCATATAGCAAATTGATAGCACATATAAGAAGAGAGCAATGATCACAATGGTAAAGTTGTTTGGATTAGGTACATAAAGATTGGGAGATTGAGTAACACTAGATACAGTGCAATTTTAAAGCAATTTTAGTTTTGTTTTTGAATGACGCAAAAGTTGGACAGCTTTTCAATTCATTAGGGAGTGAGATCCATAGACTAGGTCTCTTTATTTGCACAGAGTGTTTACACAGATTAAGTTTGACTGGGGATATCACACATAGTTTACAATTGGAATGTTCACCATTGGGGGTTCAAGTCCAAGTATGTTTATTGAGACAAGAAAAAATACACCTCAAAGGGATAGAGGAACTTACGCTTGAGATAGCGTAAGCTATTTCTACCAGCCCCAGACCATTGGGGAATTCATTACCTGCACTATAAACAGTTAGTTTAGTTCATTTATTATGCACCCCATACCCATCTTGTGGGCGGTAGTGGAAAGGGTTACAGAGGCACATAATGGGCTCAGGGACTGAACCCCACAATTCATTTAGCTAAGCAAGTTACAATCTTGATGAGCTAGTTACAAAATTCAATATAAGTCGTCACATCAACAATGGGTTCGAGATCGACCACAAGTACAGTTTCTAAATTAAGCAACTAACATATGTGAAGAGCTAGTGTCACAATTTATGTTTGTCCTGCACACCGCCCCCCCATCCAGTGGGCAGCGGTGGATAGGGTACAATCACTCTTAGTTACTACCTACAGTTAGCAAACTGGGGATAATTGGCTAAAATTTCTGGTAGCAGATCATTTTGAATGAAATATTTACACATCGCTGGAACATTAGTTATAGAATTGTCTCTAAATTCACGTATCTTTTCGCACTCCATCACATAGTGACGGAGGGTGTGCGAATAATTTTGTTGACACAGTTTACATTTGGTCAGGTCTACATCGGCAGATAATGAGAATTCCCAGAGATACTTGTAACCGAGTCTAAGCCGAGTAGTAGTAACATCTAGAAGTCTGTTGATTTTATTGGATGATCCATAGATGTGTGGCTCCTCTTGCATAATAGTATGATGATAGATGAAATTACTGGTGTCAATTTCACTTTGTCTCAGATCTACAAGATCTTGCTGAAGTTCTCGGTGTACTGCTGCTCTCAGATTGCTCATTGACAATCCAAGGTTACACTCAACATCTCCTTTAAAGGCAGATTCTTTGGCTAATTTATCAGCACTATCATGCATTCGGAGGCCAACATGAGATGGAGACCACATGAAATGGACTCTGTTACCATCCTTACCATTGGGGAATTTATTACCTGCACTATAAACAAAATTATGAGTTCAAACTTGGCGGGCGTGGCGGGGGCCGCCAGGTGGCACCTCGATCAATGTTTACACGACAGCAGAAGGCAGGATGGCTGAGGGGTAAATGTCACTCTCCTTTGTTAATGTTACCTTTTGTTGGCATTATTAGCGCGAGTACGGGTTGTGATAAGTGGCCAGAGTCCGGAGGTTGAGGGTTAGAGGTTAGAGGTATGAGGTTGTGTGTCAGGGAGTGAAGGGGGAAGGATAAGTTGAGTTTGCAGGAGCTTATTGTGATGTGTATCTACGCTGTAGAGTGCCGTAGATGATGAGCTCAAGGTGAACAGCCTCTACACCAGGAACACGACTCTCGTCTAATTCGTCACTAGTTGCTCTTCTTTGGCATCTTGCAATTAATTTCCAGAATTCACTTGTTTTCACATTGTTCTGTTATATTTTTTTTAATTTTCTGGGCTATTTTGAGTTTGTGGGAATTTTTATACCTCACTGTTCACTTTGTGTGTGTGTAGTTACCTAAGTGTAGTTACAGGATGAGAGCTACGCTGATGGTGTCCCATCTTCCCAGTACTTTGTAATATAACACTTTGAAACTGCTGATGGCTTTGGCCTCCACCACCTTCTCACTCAATTTGTTCCAACCATCTGCCACTTTGTGCAAAATAAAATGTTATAATATTCTTCCGGCACCTTTGTTTCCTTGAATCTGTGTCCTCTTGTTCATGAAGTTACTGGTTTCGGGAATTCCTCTTTTGTCAGTTTGGTTTGTGCGTGTTAATTTTGTCAATGTGTGTGTGTGTGTGTGTGTGTGTGTGTGTTTGGGGGGGGGAGGGTTCATGGTATTGAAGGTAAATGTTATCCCAGTGCGAAGAATAAAGTGAACATTTGCACAAGCATCATCAATCGTAAATATTCACGTTCTCATTATGAAATTTGCTGTAATTAATATTGGGAGCTTGTGTTAGCTTAACCAAGCTTGAATTTCACTGATTGCATTGGCAAATTGTTCAGCTCGTTATCAATACTCAAACGTTAATTAACTCTAACACGTTAATTATATCTTTCTTAAACGGACATAACTGCCCATGAATGCTCTGTTCTTATATATATATATATATATATATATATATATATATATATATATATATATATATATATATATATATATATATATATATATATATATATATATATATATATATATATATATATATATATATATATATATATATATATATATATATATATATATATATATATATATATATAATATATATATATATATATAGAATATATATATATATATATATATATATATATATATATATTATATATATATAATATATATATATATATATATATATATATATATTAATATATATATATTATATATTATGTATTATATATATTAAATATATATATATATATATATATATATATATATATATATATATATATATATATATATATATATATATATATATATATATATATATATATTATTTATTTATTTATTTATTTATTATGTAAGTAAAGGTTAGGCAGGTTTAAATGCTCATAAAGGAAATAATATACTCGGTGTTAAATTGTTACTTTTGTGCTGGTATATTCAATTTGCTATTTTTTTTCCTCTTTACACATTGTAAGATGTTTAACAATAACACCAATACTAAAATGGTATTTAGGAATTTATAGTTAAAGTATGCTGCAGAATTAATTCTTGCATGTGGGAATCAGTTGGGCATTAAACTCTTTGATATACTGTAGATGTAGTGTGTTGTACAGTATTAGAATTTATCTGAAAAGGAAACTTTGTTAAACAAAATTCAGTTTGTTACTATTTAATTAATTTTGAGGAATATTTCAGCTGGATAACTTAGTCCTTTTTTCCAGATTCTTTGCTGTACTGTATTCAGCTTAAATTTTATTTAACTGTCTTGAGCTTAACAAGCTGAAAGTGTGCTTTAGAAGTTTGTAAGATTTTTATCACTATGCACTATCTGTAAGCATAAACAGGCATTACTTTTACCCCATAGGAAACAGCTGGCCAATGATGTTCTGTATACAATATCTATAAATCCCTAATAAGATACGCACTATATTTGTAGTGAAAGTTTTTTTTACTTTAAGTATTATGAACAACTTTGCATTAATGGCACAACTTTTGGTTCAAGGAATGGTGTGATGAGGGCATGTTTTAGTTACTCAGAACTAAATATTATTGCTGTATGTATTCAGTACTGTACCAGCTTTAGATCAAAATTAGTGTTGAATCTTTTCTCGTCTAGTTTATGTTCAGTTTCTCGTAAATAATAACAAGTCTTCTTTGTTCATGCAGCTGTTATCAGGATGGATCCATTGCCTTATTTTATGGGTAAGAACATTTTGTCTACTGGAGTAATAATGTGTAAGGTAAAAAGTTTCATTAAAAAAAATAACTATCCTACGGTATTGTATTGCATCAGTAGGTACAGTATACTGTATGTTTTAAATTTAAGCTTGCAGTTAGTGTCTTGGAGCTATGCTTAGCTGATGTATCTTTGATTTTTATAGTACAGTGTATATGTTTTTAGATAAAAGATATATATATATTTTGTAAAGAATTTATTCCCCATCAATAGAAAGTTTCAAATAATTTTTATTACATTATCGTAATTTATAAACAGTCCTTTCACTACCATTATATAATTGATGTTGGGTGCATAGCAATTTATATCATCGGGGTTACAATAACAAATTGTGGTGTATCTTCTACAGAAGCGGTGGTGACGGGAGTTGGTGGGGCTGGATCCAGAGTACGAGAGATAAGGCGAGTCGTTGTGATTGTGTTAATTATTTGACAGTAAATCAATCTATCCTAAGCTGTGTAAATGGAGGTTAATTTGATAAGAGTTTGGGCTGCGTGCAAACCCTGGGCTGCACAACTGTTAATAGCCGATATTCCCCATGGAGTACAAAAAAAATTCTTCTAAAATTTTTGTTTTTCTTTTGACATTGTTAATTAGCCTCCAGGAAGCACAAAAATCCCAATAAAATGCCTGGAGAAGCTGCATTTTTTTTGGATAGAAATGAGATCATGTGAAAGGTACTGGTTATTATGTAAAAATTTTAATATATAAGTAGGTATGGATACACTTACATATGCGTGAATTGTAGATACAGTATACAGAAACTGTTTACTTATTCATGTGAACTGTGTAGGCAAGAGAGAGTGGTGGAGTGTGGTGAGGTATAATGACAAATGAATGGTAATTGGGTGGACACAAATATGAGCCGCACAAGAACTCCAGAAGGCCTGTTGGCCCATATGATGCAGCTCCTATTCATACCCACTAATAGGCCCACACATGGATAATAATAGCATAAGATAGTAAATATTTACAGTGAATTTGTGAGACAAATGTGTTCCAATGATCCTACTCAAATTGCCCTTTAATTGATCTATCAAAAATGGATCTAAGTTATATAGACCACTGCTAATGTTCAAATTACTTTCTTTTGTAATCTGTATCAAAGCAGATTCAATTATGTTTCTGTTATAAGTGCTTTTACAATTCGTTATTGAAGAAGCCATCTCCCAATGAATTTGGTGAGCATCTTCTGACAGATGAACAAACAAAGCATTAGACAATTGGCCATGTCTTACAGAGTATTTATGTTGCAAAATTCTACATTTCAAATCTTTAGATGTTTGCCCAACATAGAACTTATTACAGTCTTTACAAGGTATTTTATTAATGACAATTATCACTACTAGGGCTGTTTCTAACTAATAGCTTACAACAGTATTTTCATAACTAAACAATACATGTATATCAAAAAGTTTCAAGACCTTGACAATATTCTCAAACCCAGAGAAATATGGTAAATATAACACATTCTTTGGGCGAATATTTTTGCTGCATATGTTATTATAATACTGTATGTACGACGTGCTTTGCTATGGCAAACTTCCAAAAAACTCAGTGGGTAACAAAGCTTGAGACCAATCGAATCAATATTCTTAAACTCTTCAGCTAAGAATTCTGGACTCACAACTCGAATAGCTCTTAGATACATTGAAGAAAAAATGGATTTTTTCACATTGTATCTATGCCCTGAAAAATAATGAACATAAGATAAATTATTCGTAGGTTTTCTGTAGACACTAAGCTTTAGTGAAAAATCTTCCCTATGAATAAGTACATCTAGGAATGGCAAACATTTATCATTTTCAGTCTCCATAGTAAATTTTATAGAGGTGACTTGATCATTAAGTTTGGCTATAAATTCGTCTGTATTTACATCTGAAGGCCATATACACTATAAAATTTACTGTGGAGACTGAAATTGATAAATGTTTACCATTCCTAGATGTACTTAGAAGAGAGAGAATGAGAGAAGAAAGAAAAGAGAGAAGAAATCTATACAAAGAAGAAGAAATCTATACAAAGAAGAAGAAATCTAAACAGATATCGAAAAAATAAAAGACACTGAAGCGATCATAAAGGGTCCCGGTTGTACAGTCGGGTTAGTTCTCGATGCACAATTGAAAATTCCAGGTTCAAATCCCTGGTGGGTCAGAAATGGTTGGTTACATTTCCTTTCATCTAATGCCTCTGTTCACCTAGCAGTGAGTAGGTACTCAGGTGTTAGTCAGCTTGTTGTGGGGTTGCATCCTGGGCAGGGTCAGTAATGCGACCTGGGGGGGGGGGGGGCTCGATTAAAGTCAAGCATGTATTCTTTCACATATACAAAATGAAAATAAAAAACCTCTTAGTATTGGACTTATTCCTGCAGTTGAAGGTTCGTGCACAGAGGATGACAGAAATTGGTGAAATTTTAAAAGACCAATATGAGGCCATGTTTAGCACCCCCAATAACCAGCATGAAAGTTGAAGACCCACATAGCTTTTTTTTATGAACGATATCCAAATCCGGACAAAATAACTGATACTACCATGAGCACAGAAGACTGACTGACGAATTGACAACATGCCTGTGCACTCTGCCTGAGGTCGTGGCTCCTGGAATTCAGTACAATATTCATAATGAAATGTTAAGTACCAGTAGCATGAGTGCTTAGTGTAATACTGTATAGAGAGAAAGCTCGAAAACAGAGGAAATTCCACAAGCACTTATATCGCAGATATAGCTTTACTATACAAGGGAGGTAGCAAAGCTCTGGCCAAAAACCATAAAGGTGTGTGGGAAGCCCAAGTAATTGTCTGGTTGATCACTAACACACTTAACACCATGCCTAATTAAAGTTTTTGAAAGAGTGATTAGGAATCAAATCTTCAGTTTTATGGGGAACAATGAACTTCACAACCAGGTCAACATGGAGTTAGATCAGGAAGATCTTATCTTTTGCAATTGCTCAACCAGTAGGACAAAATCACAGAAGCATTAATGCAGATTTTTATGCACAGACTTTGATAACTGTGACCATGGAGTGATAGCCCACAAAATAAAATCAGTAGGAATAACTATTAAAGGGGGCACTTGATTTTAAATTTTCTATCAAACAAAATGCAAGGGTATCAGTCGATCAAATCAAATCAGGTCCAAGCACAGTGAAAAGTTGTGAACCCCAGGGCACTGTCCTCGCACCACTGCTTTATCTCATTTTCAAATCAGATATAGACAAAAATACTAGTCACAGCTTCGTGTCATTCTTTGCCAATGATTAAAAAATCAGCAAGAAAATTACCTATGTAAAAGACTAAAAATCTACAAGCCGATATTAATAAAGTCTTTGATTGGGCAATGAAAAATAACTTGATGTTCAACAGTGATAAGTTCGAGGTATTTAGGTACTGTGTGGGAAATGAAGAACTTAAACAAAATACAGAGTACAAGACACAATCAGATATGTTCATAGAATCTGGGAATTATAATGTCTGATGACCTGATGTTTAGTGAACATAACCAAGCAAATATAGCATCAGCCAAGAAAGTAATAGGGTAGATTGTGAAAACGTTCAAACAAACGTTGTGAAAACGTTCAGGTATGATTGAGGGACGGGTAGTGAGACCTGGGTGCAGTAGGGAATGCCATCTACTATAACATAAATTGTTGTTTAACATATGCAAAACAAAGGGATAAAATTTTTGCTATAGTATTAGTGTAAACTATACTTTATAACAATTTAAAAAGAACATTTTTCTTGCAGGTTATATCACAGTCATCGGAAGTTTTAGAGTTTGTAAAAAAAGACATAGATGAGTTTACGAAAGTGGTGACGGAAGAGGCATCATCAGTGGTTTCTTCAACAGCTAACACACTCAAGGAAAAACTCAGGGTGACTATTTAAGCAAATTTATGTTCAGAAATTTTATTGTAAAGGGATCCAAGAGTGAAGATGTTATTTTAATTCGGTAGTTTTATTGGTACAGTGGAACCTTGAATGATGAGCGACTCCAGTTACGAGCATTTCGAGTAACGAGCGAGCCACTTGCAGAAAATTTGTCTCGATTAACGAGCAAACCACATGGTGCTTCCTAACGTTCCCGCTGGTTCTCGGACGCCTCCAACGATAGTGTTGTTGTTTTGTAAGACGAGTGTTTCACATGATGAGCTCGGTGCAGGAACGGATTAAATTTGTTAATCGAGGCACCACTGTATTTATAATGCTTCAAAGATGTGTATGTAATATTGTTTCTGTGACCAGGTTCCTTTAGTGCTAGGTACAGTATCTATTAAAATTGCTATGTTACTTCAGAATATTAAAAAGAAAAGGGACAAATATTATGTTGTTGCTAATTGCATAAAATTAAAGTTCACATTACTTGCACTTGATACCTAATATTTTAAAATACATTGTCCTCGTAAGTAAAACATATACTGTACAAGTATTAGGTTCATGGATTTTTTTCTGTGGGGAGCCCCATCTGCTTCCTGAAGCTATCCTACTGATATAGTGCTATATTAGTTGGGGTCATCAGTCGCAGAGTTTTTGTTGCCTACCATGAGCCATACCCAAAACCTGGCCCCCTCTCAGAGAGGCGCAGAGAGCAATGGCCTATGAGCACTTTACATTTAAAGAATGTCATATTTTACCATCTACCAGGGAAGGCATCCAGAAAGGTAGGCAAATCAAAACAGACCACTGTCTGGTTGAAAATTGCGAGCTACGTCCTCAAAATAACAAAAGAACTCCCCCAGAAAGAAAACAAACAAGCCGTGCATCATCCAACTAGCCCCTCCCCTCTCATTGAGCCATCCTGGTCCTTGGACAGGGTGCTCTACTATCTCTCTTGTCCTCGGTTCATGGTGGTCCCATCGGTTCGAGATTGGTGAAGCGAGTTGGTGAGCTTCATGCCCTCCTCCGGTGCACAGGTTCTGCTCTTTCGGTCCTGGTAGTTGGTTTGTTCGGTTGCAGCCTTCTCCTTTTCTGGAGAAGAATGAGACGGCCACTTTCCAGAGGGGTCCTTGGGTCATTGCTGCTTTTTTGGTCAGGCTGGGGGTGCATCATGTGTTGTGTCCGGTATCGGCTCTTCACCATTCCTTGCGCGCCTCTGCTTCTTTGGTCAGAGGTGTGCGTTGGGGTGATCCTGTTTCCCTCGTTCCCTGTTCCAGGGCTCAGGCCTCCCAGGTCGTCTGCAGGGTCATTACATCCAGCCAGCCTGTGGTCTATCTTCATGCCCACAACGTTTGTATGTTTGCTGCTTTGACTGCAGTCTTTGGCAATATGTCCTGGGCTGACTTTCGGGCATAGGGATTTTGGAAGTCCAACAGTGTCTTGGCCGTGGGTTATCTCGTCAATGTGCCTGGTCCTAGTCGACCATGTGGGGCTTTGGGTTGCAGGTTGCAGCCAGTTGTCTCAACTTCGGGTTGAGGAGCGAGTGGCGTCTACCTCCCGGGTAAATCCTTAATTCCATCTCTTTGGTGATGTAGTTCCTGGAAACTGTAGGGTTCCCCTACAGAAAACCAGCGTTCAATGTAATGAAACGCCATTTTCTGGGTGAGCCCTGAAGGCTCCCTAGCAACCCTCCCTCTTTTCAGTCGGCGGTTCCGGTTCCTTTTTGATGCTCAGTCTCCGAACTGGATGGCTTGGGTACCCGGCGTGGGGGTGGGGGGTTAAGAGGGGGGGGATGACCTTCACGGGCGTGGCAGTGAAGTGCGACGTTTGCATGTTTGCTTGTTTCCTGAAGCTGTAGGGTGAATTCTCTCTCCCTGTTCAGTTTTCAGTCGCAATTTCTTACCAGGTGGGGTTTGTTTTGTTATCCCTACCTTTCTTGGTGCCAAACCCAGTCGATGGCAGACATGGAATGCCCCCAATCATATGGGGGTTTCTATAGGCCATTAGTCCCTTTGCCTCTCTGAGAGGACCAGATTCTGGCTCGTGATCCCCGGTAGGCTGAACTCCAATTGACTGTTGCCCCCCAGACTAATATAACACATATCAGCCTAATAGCTCCAGGAAGCCTACGGGGCTCACCCAGAAAATGGCATTTCAGCCTGATAGCTCCAGGGAGCCTCTGGGGCTCACCCAGAAAATGACATTTCATTACATTCAATGCTGGGTTTTTCTTATTTTAGGTTATATGGGAGTATTATTGTGGAACTTTCAGTGTCATGGTCTGCATGTGTTAATTAATAGCCCCATTAAGGGTATAAATTAATATTAACTATTCAATGGAAAATTTACCTTTAATGTATTTAAAATTATTATATTATAATATTCTTTCAGTTGGATGAAGATGATAGTACTGCTAATCACATGAAGAAGAGTGTTAGTGGCTTCCTTAACCATGTAGCAGAAGTTTTCACACCACCTCCAGATGATGCAGACCAAGAAGCCATTGTGATTCGTAACCAACAACCTGTCATATTAAATAGGCTACAGGTTAGTTCTTTTGCCTTTTATATGTGTAATGGAAGTGCTTGTGTGTACCTGCGTATGCATTATTGAGCACATTGATTGTTTGATGCTATTCATATTTCAGTACGACTGACTGTTAAGATCTGTCCATTAGGCTTACACTAGTGGAATAGAAATCTTCAAATACAAAAGCTGTACTCGGGCTTCTCTTGTGCCGAGATAAAATAATTGAATTTTTATACAGATTATTGGTTAAAATTGCTGATATCCTCCTTGTTGTTTTGCAGGCAGCAATTTATGCAATATCACAAGATCCAGCCACTTTCTTGACGGACCCTGAAGGAGATGAATCACATTACGAGGCTTGGCTTTCGAAATTTGACCTGGAATCGCGACAGACAGAACTCTCCGACCTTCTTGTTAACAATCAACCACTTAGACATAATTATACTTCGCTTGTTCCAGCCCAGGTATGCTTCCCAATTCTTTTTTAAAACATTATGTTGTTAATGCAAATATTGTACAGTATGTATCTGTAATCTGTAGAACATTTGTTAGAGATGGTTGTCAAATTGCCCATTACTGTAGTATGAAAAAAACTCTTATTATGTATTTGGGTGATAGAAAGCAGTAGTACTATAATTAACTGCTAATTATAACTCCAATTGACTGATTCAACCAATTGTAGAGTCAATTCCAATTGACTCTACAACCCTTAGACACTGGTTATCGTCATATGTTGATTCACAGGTAATGTGGTTATCATATGACGATTTAAACAATTATTGCCGGGGTTTTACATGTAAGATGCAAATAAGGATATAATAAATAATAATTCACTGTGTCGGGGGGGACAGGAAGCCAGAGTGTATTCATACACGTTAGGCTTTTTATCGAGGTTTGCCATCCCAGATTGAATTACTGACCCTGCCCAAGATGCAACCCCACAACAAGCTGACTAACTCCTGAGTACATACTTACTGCTAGATGAACAGAAGCATTAGGCGAAAGGAAATGTGTCCAACCATTTCTGCTCTCCCGAGATTCGAACCCAGAATTCTCGATTGTGCATTGAGAACGAGCCCGACTGTACTACCGGGACCCTTTATAACAGGGTATATTATAATATAATAGCTCTCTGTGGATGTAATAGAGTTTATCTTGATCCATGAAAAAATCCTGCTGTCATTTCTTGATTAAGTTACTACGTGAATGCTGTTATCTTCATGAATGTTACTAGGTGAATGCAGTCATTTTCATTGTATAAAATTGTATGATAATTACATGACATGTATACCAATGATGTTAATATGGTTTTCATAAATGTGATTGTTGTAAATGAGGTATACCAGGTAAACCAGTCAAGTGAACCATTACGTGTACTGGAAGCCTATCGTTATCTATGGTGCCACATTGGTAGCTTACACCTTTCTTTCAATCTGTATGGTGCCAATTAGGCCATATGCAACGCATCCTCTGAATTAACAGTACGGTTTAATACTAAGTGTAATAAGTACAATTCCTGACTGCTAGAAATAGTACATAATTACACTTGTGTCGTTACATTTACCTCCCCATATTCGGAGGATGGGCTGGCCATGTGTCATCACCCAGAGCCCAACACCATTGTATATTATCTTCATATCCTTTTCACTACTCTATATGGTTGTAATAAAGTATGCCAGGTAAACCAATCATCAATTTAAACATTAGTGATAAACAATCAGAAACATTCGAGGAAGCACAGGAGTCGTGTCTCGTATACCTCAGTGTAGAGTACAGGAGTCGTGTCTCGCGTACCTCAGTGTAGAGCACAGGAGTTGTCTCGCATACCTCAGTGTAGAGCACAGGAGTTGTGTGTCTCATACCTCAGTGTAGAGCACAGGAGTTGTCTCGCATACCTCAGTGTAAAGCACAGGAGTTGTCTCGCATACCTCAGTGCAGAGCACAGGAGTTGTCTCGCATAATTCAGTGTAGAGCACAGGAGTTGTGTCGCATACCTCAGTGTAGACACAGGAGTTGTCTCTCATACCTCAGTGTAGAGCACAGGAGTTGTCTCGCATACCTCAGTGTGCACAGGAGTTGTCTCGCATACCTCAGTTGTATACCTCAGTGTAGAGCACAGGAGTTGTGTCTCTCATACCTCAGTGTAGAGCACAGGAGTTGTCTCGCATACCTCAGACAGGAGTTCAGTGTAGAGCACAGGAGTTGTGTCTCTCATACCTCAGTGTAGAGCACAGGAGTTGTCTCGCATACCTCAGTGTAAAGCACAGGAGTTGTCTCGCATACCTCAGTGCAGAGCACAGGAGTTGTCTCGCATAATTCAGTGTAGAGCACAGGAGTTGTGTCTCTCATACCTCAGTGTAGAGCACAGGAGTTGTCTCGCATACCTCAGTGTAGAGCACAGGAGTTGTCTCGCATACCTCAGTGTAGAGCACAGGAGTTGTGTCTCATGCCTCAGTGTAGAGCACAGGAGTTGTGTCTCGCATACCAAAGTGTAGAGCACAGGAGTCTTGCATACCTCAATGTAGAGCACAGGAGTTGTGTCTCGCATAACTCTGCATAGAGCACAGGAGTCGTGTAGAGTATTCCTCAGTGTCAGCAAAGTTGGGCATCGTGTGTTGACAGACACCACAGACAACACCACCATGTGTTGACAGATACTCGGCAAGAGCTACGAGGAAAGGTTAGAGGCATTAAATATGCCAAAATTAGAAGACAGGAAAAAAAGAGGTGATATTATCACTACTGTACTTACAAAATAGTAAAAGGAATTGACAAAATTGATAGGGAAGATTTCCTGAGACCTGGAACTTCAAGAACAAGAGATCATAGATTTAAACTAACTAAACAAAGATGCCGAAGAAATATAAGAAAAATCACTTTTGCAAACAGAGTGGTAAACGGTTGGAACAATTTAAGTGAGAAGGTGGTGGAGGCCAAAACCGTCAGTAGTTTCAAACCATTATATGACAAAGAGTGCTGGGAAGACAGGACACCACGAGCGTAGCTCTCATCCTGTAACTACACTTAGGTAATTACCAGACCACATAGCAACCTTTCCAGTAAAAAGGAAAATATTCACTAATTTTTATGTTTTTATTATATTTTGCATTTAAATTAAGAATTCTATCATAAGATACTTTATGAAAATATTTTATTTTTTGTCCATAGGCAGTAATGACCTCACTATCTAAAGGTTAAAAGGGAATTTGTGAAAGTGGAGAAAATGTAAAAAATTCAACTTGTCCTCTTGAATAATATATCACATTTTGTTGTCAAAGTCCCACCGAACCGATAATACTTCTGTTCAGGTAGTACTTATGGCAACAATGTGGACCATCGTACATATATTGAAGTAATGGACAATTTAGAAAGTAGAATTTGGTATTATTGAATTTGAACAAACTGGGAAAGGTTTTGTATTTATGTTGCTAATAAAACTTAGCTGAACCTAAACTAATCCTCCTAGGCCTAATATAGTATAAATGTGCCACACCTGTTGACTACCTGTTGACAGTTTTGGGGATCAATGTTCTCAAGAACCCAGTCGCTGACCAGGCCTCCTGGTTATTAGGCCTAGGAATATATATGTTTGGTTTTAAGCTTTATTTTTCCCAGGCTTTTATAAAATGGAAGTACCAAATTTGATCTAATTGTCAATATATGTATGATGGTCCACGTAGTTACAAAAAACTAGCGTTGAATGTAATGAAATGCCACTTTTCTGGGTGAGATCCGGAGGCTCCCCGGAGCTATCCAGGTTGATATGTAACTATTAACTTTCTGGCATCAGTCAAAGAGCGTGGAGTGCTTGCCTACCGGGGACCTTGAGCCAGAACCTGGCAACTTAGAGAGGCATGAGGAGCAATGGCCTATAGAAACCCCTGTGTGGTTAGGAGCATTCTATATCTGTCGTTGACAGGGTCTGGCACCCAGAAAGATAGACGCCCCAAAATAAACCCCAATTCTGGTAAAAATATTACTACCGAAAGCTGAACGAGTGGACAGAACTCCCCAACGAAAATTAGCAAACGAGCATGACGTCATCATGTTGCCGCGCTGCTGTCTGAGCACCCCCCCCCCTCCCCAGGAAGGGGGAGCCCCCAGACCCTCACACAAATTGCAGGTAAAGGATAATATCCAGAGGTTGAAGATGGGAACCAGTTTCACGGAAAATGAAAAGGAGATGTGTGAAACATTAAACGAAAAATTCCAAAGTGTGTTTGTACGAAATGAAATCTTCAGAGAACTAGACACAATAAGAATTCCAGAGAACAACATAGAGTGTATAGAGGTGTCTAGAGATGAAGTGGAAAATATGCTAAAGGAGCTAAGTAAGAACAAAGCAGTTGGCCCAGATGGAGTTTCACCAGGGGTTCTGTGAAAATGTGCATCTGAGCTCAGCATTCCACTTCACCTGATCTTTGAGGCATCCCTGTGTACAGGAGTCGTAGCAGACGTGTGGAAAAACGCTAACATAGTTCCAATCTACAAAAGTGGCAGCAGGGAAGACTCCCTCAATTATAGACCTGTATCATTGACAAGTGTAATAGTGAAAGTATTGGAAAAATAATAAAAACTAAATGGGTAGAACACCTGGAGAGAAATGATATATCAGACAGACAGTATGGTTTTCGATCTGGAAGATCCTGTGTATCGAATTTACTCAGTTTCTATGATCGAGCCACAGATTTTACAGGAAAGAGATGGTTGGGTTGACTGCATCTATCTGGACCTAAAAAGGCTTTCGACAGAGTTCCACATAAGAGGTTGTTCTGGAAACTGGAAAATATTGGAGAGTTGACAGGTAAGCTTCTAGCATGGATGAAAAATTTTCTGACTGATAGAAAAATGAGGGCAGAAATCAGAGGCAATGTATCAGACTGGAGAAATGTCACAAGTGGAGTACCACAGGGTTCAGTTCTTATACCAGTGATGTTTGTCTACATAAATGATCTACCAGTTGGTATACAGAATTATATGAACATATTTGCTGCTGATGCTAAGATAATAGGAAGGATAAGAAACTTAGATGATTGTCATGCCCTTCAAGAAGACCTGGACAAAATAAGTATATGGAGCACCACTTGGCAAATGGAATTTAATGTTAATAAATGCCATGTTATGGAATGTGGAATTGGAGAACATAGACCCCACACAACCCATAAATTATGTCAGAAATCTTTAAAGAATTCTGATAAAGAAAGAGATCTAGGGGTGGTTCTAGATAGAAAACTATCACCTGAGGACCACATAAAGAACGTTGTGCGAGGAGCCTATGCCACGCTTTCCAACTTCAGAAATGCTTTTAAATACATGGATGGGGAAATACTAAAGAAATTGTTCACGACGTTCCAGGTTCTGGCTCGTGGTTCCCGGTAGGCAAGAACTCCATGCACTTTGACCGATACCAGAAAGGTAATACATAGTTACATATCAGCCTGGATAGCTCCAGGAGGCCGATGGGGCTTACCCCAGAAAGTACTATCTAAACAGGTGGATGGTTCATATAGCCCAATACAATAATTCTCAGTAGGTGATGGAACTTGTTACTTCCCTCATGCTACTGTAATGGTTCTACCCAGGCCAAATTGTCTCCTGTCTGTGTTATAAAAGGGTGCTAAACCTGTTCTTCTAATGCCAAAAGAGTGGTAGTTAGATCATAGAAACTTATGTACTTTGTAATGGTTTTGTGATAATTTTGTGGTAAAGTTAGTGTTATGCATTAACTTGATGCAAATATCCTCCAAATAGCCCTTCATCCCATTATACAAACCAATTCCAAAGCCCCACAATACGAAGAGTGCTACTAATGCGCTGTAGTATCTCAGTTATTTTATCACGGAAATCCTCATCAATAATGGTTGGTAAAAGGAGAAAGTGTGTTGATGATGCACAAGTGCATTGATGATGCATCATCGCATGATGCATCATCATCCCATGATGCATCATCATCGCATGATGCATCATCGTCGCATGATGCATCATCGTCGCATGATGCATCATCGATGCATCATTCGAGGCTGCCATTAGGGAATCAAGGGAAGAGTTCATGGATTGTCCATAGGGAGGGTATGGGGTGAGGGGGAAAGGGAGAGTTGAATGAACATCTGAATGGTGACAAGGAGGGTTTGAGGTGAGGATGGTGGAAGGGTTGCCCTCATCTCTCTGGTTGATGGGCATCTGGTTGGAGGTTCCCCACTCCCCTCTGGGACCATTGTGCTGGGGACTGTAGTTCCCTGGTTCTCTCTTCTCTACCTGCACATCCTCCTTGCATTTACTGCCATGGTTCTCTCTTCCCTCATCATGTCCCCCCTAAGGAATACTTGTTTGAATGTTACATTGAACAGTTGGCTCTTCCTTGCTAGAATTTCCTTGTTTGTAGTCTCTTTGTGGGACTTTGTGCTCATGTGGTTGCCCCAGAGGCATTTTTTTTGGAGGAGGGTGGGGAATGGGCTGAGTTTTGGGTTGTAGCAGCTGGTGTATCTGCTGGTGCACTTTTTGCTGCTGCTCCTCCTTCCATATTCATCTGGCTTCTTTGTATGAACCCCTTGTACAACTCCCCACCCCCTTGCTCTGGGGCATCTGAGGGTTGCGGTGCATGGCTGTGTTTCATTGTGGGTGTAGGTCAGCCTTCTATGGGGATTGCCCCTTCCACTTCAAAGCCAGAGACAGTTGAGCTGTTACTTCCCGCTGGAGATCTGGGCTGCCTTTTTTTCTGGGGTATATTTGGCTTGGGTTCTTTTAGCATTGGTAATGTCATCTTGTCTGGTCAAGTGTGTTGCTTGGCTCTTCCCTGGGGTTTTCATTTCGAACTTCCAGGGCTGGTGGGGGAAGGTGGAGCCTGGTGAGAGTTCCTGGGTACCCTTCAAGCCTTTCTGGTCTTTGTTTCCATCTACAGAGGATATTTTTCTCAGGGTGGAGGGTTTTTCTTCTCCATCTGTGTTCAAACTGGATTCTACAGCTGCTTCCCCTTAGGTTCACTTCTATGTCCCATTAGGTTCCACAGATACTTCTTTCCAAAGGTTCCTGCCATCCTGCCTTGCGCCTTCTCCAGTTTAGGTGGACCTCCATTGACTACTCCTTTGGGTTCAGGACCTCGCTTCCCTATTGGACCTAGCATCCCTTGAGTTTGGGTCGGCTTTGTCTGCTGGCTCTTATTAAGAGGTTCCTGCTTAATCCTGGCTTGCTTGTAGCCCTCTGTTTTCCTTGGGGTCCTGGCATGGCTTTTGGCATTCCCGGATGTGTGAGTGGCAGGAAGTGGGTCTTATCTTTTTAAGTGTTCTTGGGTGGTGGTGCTTTTTTGCCTCTAGTTCTCTCCAAGCATTTGGGCAGGTGGCAACTCAATGTCTAGACCTTGCTATGGAGGGTCACAGGACTTATGCTCACTTGGCAACCATTTTGAGTATTTGGGAGGTTGTTGATTTGTCCTCTGACCAGCTCCATTGCAGCCTGGGTGTTCTGGCATCTGTTCCTGGTAATTACCTAAATGTAATTGGCTAATATAGTTACAGGATGAGAACTACGCTCGTGGTGTCCATCTTCTCGATACTCTTTTGTCATATAATGGTTTGAAACAACTGACGATTTTTAGATTACTAAACTTCTCACTTAACTTGGACAAACTGTCTTCCACTCTGTTTGCAAAAGTAAACTTTCAAATAGTTTTTCTACAGCTTTGTTTCCTTTGTTTCAATCTATGAACTCATGTTTTGGAAGTTGCAGTTTACAAGAATTCTTCTTTGTCAATTTTGTTGGTTCCTGTTACTATTTTGTATGTAGTAATCATATCACCATCTTTTCTTCTATCTTCTAGCTTTAGTGTATTTAACACCTCTAGTCTCTCCTTGTAATTCTTATATTTCAATTCTGGAAGACATTTAGTTGCACATCTTTGCAGTTTTTTCTGTTTACAGATGGGCTTGAGATATGGGCACCATACAACTACTGCATATTCCAATTTTGGTTTTGCAAAGGTCATATAACCAATACATGGATGGTGAAATATTAAAGAAATATTTTGCCGTCCATGTATTTAAAAGCAATTCTGAAGTTGGAAAGCATAACATAGACTCCTTGCACAGTATTCTTTATGTGGTCCTCAGTGACAATTTCCTATTGAGAACCACCCATAGATCTCATTCTAAAATAATTAGATATATGTGGATACACATTTCAATCCCTTGGATCATCGGAGATTTGAACTTGGGCCTAAAAAATACAAAACTATTGTCATACCAACCAGACCACAGGGATGATTGTGAAACCGTAATTGTGAAACTTTAGAGGCATTTTTAGAAGACTCGTCCTGAAAGCAGACTTGGGCGGCTCTGCCATAGTTGCTCACTTCCCTCCTTCAAGTGGTGATGGTGGCATTTTTCTGGTTCATCTTGTGTGTCAATGGGCTGTGCTGGCCCAGGTTTTAGATTCAGCTTGATTCTTAACCCTCTTCGTTTTGCCTTACCCGTTTTTGGTATCAATACTCTTTTTTTTTTTGTGGGGCTGTATCTTTGGGTCTTCCAGCCTCATAGTTGGATCCATTTGCAAGGGGTTCTTCCCCGCTTTAAGGTACAAGTAAAGGACAAAATGTAGAGATGAAGAAATGTGGCTGAAGTACAGTATAGGAAAAAGAAAACTGCAGAAGGCCAAATGGCAAAGTGAAGGTAGTGAAATAGACAGATACACAGTAGCAACATAAGAGAAATTAAGAACAAAGCCTAGTGGGGCTAAAGATAAGTCATATCACACTTGTTAAGAAGGTTAGAGTATTTAAGTATCTACTGAGAAAGGCAAGAGTCAACAGAAACAAAGTCAGGATTAAGATTCATGTAGGGCAAGTTGTGTATAAGAACCAATTTGACAAGACATGGCACCTGTGAAGAGTAATGGCAGGAAAAATGCAGAGGCATTTCATTACATTTAATGTTGTTTTTTATGTTGTGATTATTTTAACTTATTCAATAAGTATAGTATTTGTTCTGAAGATAAACTATCAGCTAGCTCAATTATTTTAGTGCTGTTAGAAAAATAATTGCATTTGTTAATATTTACAACTGTTTTTAGTTAATAATATTTCAAATATTTATTCCATAATCATAGTTAAGTATACTGTATGTGTAACTGTGTTCTTGTGGTCAGGTCTCCCATGTAGTATTTTGGCATCGCTACTTTTATGAAGTCCAACGATTAGAAGCAGCTGAAGCACGACGACAAGAGCTCAAACAACGTGCGGATAAAACTGCCAACGACTCGGAGGTTGTGTGGGATGAAGGTATGGCAACATTCTCTCTGGATTTCTCTTAATGGTTACAAGTTATTCAGAATATAATATTGTATAAAATTCGTTACTGTAAAGCATAGCCATGTTTAAACTGGGACTTAACTTAGATAAAGTGTTTTAGTATTGTTAATTCCTTACCATTTTAGGTACATTGCTCTAAATTCATTTTTGTTTTAAGATTCAGTCTTTTGGAATTAATACTTGATAATGGTCAGATATTGTGAAGGAACTTTTAAAATGGAAGTCACATACCAGTTAAAAGGGAAGTTACATATGATATTTCTAGGAGGGAATTTTGAATCATGCACAGTTGAGACATTTTTTCTTTGAGCAGATCTTAGAGTTGGTGTAAATTTTGAGTGTAGATAGTGACTGATGATGGTATTCATTTTTATAAATAAAAAATTATGCATGTTAATACACTTGCATTTCAACGATGCAGTATGCGTGTTTCCCAAAAAACTAGAGCTTGTGTTTTGATAATACCGTACTGGAGTGTGTCATCAACTGGTATATATTTCCTCTAAACATAAATATTGCCATTATATGATGGAGACTTCAAATCACATACCTCATGAGTGGGTTGAGCTTAGTAGCGCTCCCTACAGGATTCAACGCAAGTGTTGTGTATGTACCCTCTCACATGTTGATTTCTTTTGGAATCTAGTGATATTTGGTGCTACATCTTTTAGTGGATATAGTATCGTATATGTGTTCATGAAGGAAAAATATAAAAAATAAAAATAAACAAAAATCAGTCACTGATAAAATTGATAGTTATATTGTGGCATTTATGGATGTCTCCATCTCTCCAGAATTTATGGAAGATAAATTTTGCGTGCAATTGATTTTTTGTTTTATCATGCAATACAGAAACTACTGTATTTATGAACATTTATATGGATAAAACAAGAAACCAAAAAAAAAACAAAAAAAAACATACAACAATGAACAGCTGTTCAAGCAAAAACTTATGTTAACATTTAAAGACTGCCTAGTTTACAGCTCTGAAAGCTAGATATTCAGTATCATTATGGAAGTAACATAGACAGTATCATAGTGCTATTTTTTCTTTTTTTACCATTTGGCAGAGCAATCATTTATGAACATTTACATTTACAATACTATACTTTATAAACATTACTTGTCTATAAATAGCTGAACAAAGACAATATTATTCTAAATATTCCTGTTCATTGTTTCACCTATCCACTCGTGCCCAATTCACCTCTGGTGTGGGATGGCACTACTGTAATTTTTTGTTTACTACAGTATTTGATAGAGCCATCATTTGTGAATATGAACATGCTTGCTATAAGGAAAATATACAGATAAACATAAAATAATTATGAATGGTAAAGTGCTTTTACCTAATCAGAAGTACATTCAATCTTAAACAACCCACCGAGGCTATCGAGGCCGCTGCTTATTAGTCCGAAGAATCGTCACTACAGTATTACGATTCTTTTAATTTCAGTAAAGTGGTGAAAATTTGATGGTATTGTTATTAGAATAAGAATTGGGATGCACTAAGTGTGAGGACAGGTTAACTGTGTTGCCCTCTTCTACCGACACAACTCCCATTCTAGGATTGGCATGTTCAGTAGAAAATTGTTGTGTATTTTTTTCGTTTTTTTTTTTACCTTTTGGTAGCATTTGCGAAGCTTTATGTGTTAATAATATATGACAATAGGCAGCTGAATAAAGATAAAATTATTAAAATTATTCATTTGTGGCTCTCACAACCACAGTTGACTTCAGAGCATTGCTAGCCAGTAGACCCAAAAATGCAAATGTGTTAAATAATGGAGATGAGTTTGTGATCTGTGTATAAGAAATTCAAAATATTTTGGCCTTACCATTTTCGTTATCATTATTACCCATTTCCCACCGTAGGGTAGGGAGGCGTGAGTCTGACTCAAAAAGTAGCAGCAGTGTAGTGAAAGAAGGTTTTTGATATTAAAAATAACTATCATCCACACTGTATGCATCACAGATGAACAAGCACTACACATACTAACATTCATCCACTGCAGCACAGTTCACATGCCTTGTATAGGTGCATCTCGTGAGTTCTCATACTACACTACAGTACTGTATGTTACTGTTAAAATCAAAATGTGTTTACTTCCTCCTGCCCTCCTTAAAAATTGCTACCACCCAGCATTACCCTTTTTTCTATGTACAAATATTATACACTCGGTACCTTGATATAGTGATAGGGTGCTACTGTGGATGATTGCTAGCGTGATGGTGCTCGTTTAGCCATGGTATACAAGTAGTGTGAATGGTGTGATAAATGGACATGTGCAATTTTTATGTACCTATAGCCTTCTTTCACTATTGTCGTTTAGTGTAGTTTCTACCACAGATGTTGCCATTCATTTATAATGCTTACAAGCTTATATACATTGTTATTTCCCTTTTGATGCTTTGCTGATGCCATCCCACTTAATGAAAGTGGGAAACAGGGTAGTGATAATGAAATGATGATTCAGTCCTTACCGTCTTTTCCCAACTCCATGCATGCTTCTCAGCTTGTCCAGTTCTGCTGCTGTAATTCTTGATATTTTACATTGCAACCACACCATTATCTCGCCTATACACTATGCTGAAGGCTCAACATTACCTCTCATATATATATAATTTCTCTATATTTCTAGTTTAGATATTTTCTTTCCTGGCCTGTGTTAGTAGCTGGTGAATAGAGCCTGGTGCGGCATCTGGGTTTGAGCACGCCGGGTGGGGAGCTCGGGGAGATACAGAAAGAACCAGCCAGAAAGAGGCGCTTCATTACATTCAACATTGAATTTTAGTTGAGAAGTTAATTGTCAATATTGATAAAGATAAATATAAAATATCCAATCTATGATTGTCATCAAAGGGGATGAGAAAACACCTTTTGTATTCCTTACTCAGTATAACTAAGCTGAATAGAGCATGACAAAGTTCACAAAGAAAATATTTGAAATACAGTATAAAGAAATATTAATACCAGTACTGCATAAAGAAATATAAAGAAAAAGGAAGAAAATTAAAAATATAAAATGCTAACCTATAGTTGTCTTGAACATTGATCATATTGTCTTTAAATTTCTTGCTTTTGAAATGAGAAGTATTTTTTATATTGTACAGTAAATCTGTTTTTATATATAAATACTTGTATTGTTTAGTGTATATCATAACTTGCTTACACCTAAATACACAACACTTTCACCTTTGTATGAGACAGTCCACCCACATGTCTGGGTCTACCCTACAAGTGTGATGAAGATGACACTTTATACTCTTTCATTTAAATATTAATACCTACGAGATATACAGTTATAGAGCATTAAAAGTCAGAAAAACTAGCTAAGAAATTTAGCTATATTATCACACAATTTAAACAATGTCCAAAACATAACATCACTTTCACATACAGACTCTCAACACATTATGTTCTGCACTCTATAAAATCACTATTCCTGAACACATTGTACTCATTCAGTGTACGTCCTAATACCATTACAATTTTACCTATTATGCTCTGTGCTCATTATATCCATTAACCTTACTATAACTTTTTACTCATTATTGCATCCTGTACTCCACCCTATGTGCCTCCATGCCTCCACCTCTGCCACCACCACCTCTTCCACCACCACCACCTCTTCCACAACTACCACCACCTCTTCCACAACTACCACCACCTCTTCCACAACTACCACCACCTCTTCCACAACTACCACCACCTCTTCCACAACTACCACCACCTCTTCCACCACCACCACCATCTCTTCTACCACCACCACCTCTTCTACCACCACCACCTCTTCTACCACCACCACCTCTCCCACCACCACCACCTCTTCCACCAACCCCACCTCTTCTACCAACCCCACCTCTTCCATCACTACCACTGACTGTTCCATACCATACCTTGATCATACCTGGATGGGGTTCTAGGAGTTACACTCCCCGAGCCTGGCCTGGGGCCTGACCTTGGAGAGTAGAAGGGGACCACCTCTTCCAATCACTACTATCTCTTCCATCACTACCATCTTTTCCATCATGACCTCTTCCATTGCCACCATGTCCTCTTCCACCACCACTTCTTCCATCACCACTGCCATCTCTTCCATGATCACAACCACCACCTCTTCCATGGTCCCCCACGACCACCTCTTTCATCACCACCACTACCACGTCTCTCAATACCACCGCCACGTCTCCCAATACCACCACCGCCACGTCTCCCAATACCACCACCGCCACGTCTCCCAATACCACCACCGCCACGTCTCCCAATACCACCACCGCCACGTCTCCCAATACCACCACCGCCACGTCTCCCAATACCACCACCGCCACGTCTCCCAATACCACCACCGTCACGGCTCCCAATACCACCACCGCCACGTCTCCCAATACCACCACCGTCACGGCTCCCAATACCACCACCGCCACGTCTCCCAATACTCTACCTACTCCTCCTATATTACTACCACCACTACCTCTCCCAATACTGCCATCTAATATTATAATACTACAATTTCTGCATTTAATTCCTCAGTCATTTTCTTGCAAGTGTGCAATAGAAACATATATACTATATAGGATAGCACTATGTATTGTTCAGTAATACAATTTACAAGATGATGTAAATTATTTTGTAATATTGTAGACTAATGTATTATCTGTGTTAAGAATACTCATAATATTGCTTGTATTGTGAGTGATGCCTGTTTAGGGACCAATGACACCTCCTTTGATCAGCTATCATCAAACTGCTAGTTTTTGGAGGTATTTAACAAAGCATTTTCTAAATATTGAGTATATATTGGTCCCTATAGTGGGACCATAGTGAGGGGATTTAATTAAGAGGGGTAGAGATAATGCAATTCTTTGGATGTTGGGGGTTTTATATTTAGGAGAAATTACAAATCTTTACATTTTATATTTAGATAGTCAAACAGTACTTAAGGAATATACAATGCATGATTATTAAT